GGCCTTCTCATATACATTTTGCTTTTATAAGCAGTCAGTACACCTGCTGAGGTAGCTGTGTGTACTGTAAGGGAAGCACCAGGGCAGGGCTGGGAGTAGAATCAGTTGGTTCTATTCTTTGGAACACCTCATGAGATCAAGGGTTGTCAGTTGTTGTTTATAAAAATCAAAACCGAAAGCAAAACCAACCCACCTTTGGACAATCTCCTTAATGAAATGAGCACATTTGAGCACTAGTTGGTAGCTTGGTAGGTAGAGAATTTTCTTAAGAAATATGGCTCGTCAATTCCAAATGGATTTTTTCAGGCCTGTGAAAATGAAGGATGTGGATCTGCCTATGGAAAGGTTTACAACTGCCATGATATCTTAAGGAGCAAAAGTTACCAACTGTGCTGGTGGCAAAACAAGCTTGAGAGAAGTGCTAATGTGAGCGTGCCTGTGTGAAGATCGCTGGAGAGCTGTTCCAGCAGGTCTGATACAAAGCAGCACCATCAATTACTAAGGTTGTGAACACCTAACTTATGTACGTGGCTGAGATGTGCATCTCAGAAAGCCAGGAGCAACAAAATGCCACGAGCTTTCTAATTTTTATTGGTTCAGAGTTAATCTTAGAGCTCAGCTAAGCAAGTCACTTTCCCAAACTCGCCCTCCTGCTGTATGAAGAATCACTTGCTTTCTTTGCAAGGAAATTGATGGAGACACAGCACATCTTTCCTGGAGAGTAAAGGCAAAATATAATATTCAGAGTAGGACTGGAACCATCCACCAATATTGCTCCATGCATTGAACCACTGATTCCTGGTTCTTAAAGTAAGATTATTTTTTTGTGAATGCTAGATAAAAAGCATAACAATCTTCAGAATAAAGATTAATAGAAGTGCAAAAAAAAAAAAAAAGGTTTTTTTATACTTTTTATACTAGTGTTATTGTCTATTAAAGCTGCTTTCAGTTACTTTTAAATTCAATAGCATGCATCATCATGAATTTGTGATAAATATAGATGAAAAGGGGTAGTGATAATGAAAGCTATACAGGTGTAAATTACAGCATATTTTTAAAACTACTATGAAATCGCAGCTTCTTGAGACAGCATAAAATTATAGGGTATAGATACATCTTAAATTGAATCCTTGAGAATTTGGTACTGTTCACATACTAGTTGATTATCGTTTGGGCAGCACTGTCTGGGAAAATTACGAACCTCTGTTTACAGAGCTTCCTACTGCAAACCTTGTTCTCAAACCCAAGAAACCAGTTGTGGGGACAGTACAAGCCATTGTGCATCGGGTATATCCAGAGCCATGGTCACTTACTATTTGGGGAGCAGCTATGGAGGCACTGTAACCTCAGGTCCCCAGCCTCAGCCCTCTCTTCCTCAGTCCTGGAAAAGAGAATATAGAAGTAGCACCTTTAACAGAAACAAAGGCTGCTCCCAAATTTACAGAAATGGAAAGAATGGAAGGGTCAAAATAAATAAGGGGACAACATACCTGGGCTCCTCCATCTATAGCCAGCCAGGCCCACTATGGAGATTGCAATGGTCTCAGGAAGGACTCAGTTCCATCAGCTTTGCCCCTCTATGGGGAAAGCATATGTAAAGAGGCCATGGGGAATAGAAATGAGGGGCTCAGGGCTGCTTCTCTCCCATTCTTTTACTTTTTAGGATGCATCTAAGTGTCACGGGCTAACAACATTGTGTTGTGTACATATGTGTTGAAGTGGATAGGTTGCTAGTGCTTCACCATTTAAATGCTAGTCTGGGTAATTTTCCAGAGGGAACAGCTCTGCAGATAAACCTTTCTGTGCTGCAGAATAAAGTGCAGTGTAAATCTAAGGCAGAATGTTACACTTATCCTTGTGTGCTAATCAAAGGTGAATAGCTAATTTGAAATTCTTATTGATATCCATAGGAAAAGATACTGACAATGTGAAGGGGAGGTGCTGTAGGTCAGTAGCTTAAAACTTGTTGAAATATGTAGGTGACCCAGTTAGAAATCAGAGCAAGAGGTGAGCGTGTCTTTGGACAGCATTTTTATGTGAGCACAATGAAGTTAGAGAAAGAAAGGTCTGATTAAGGTGCATGAAAGAAATGAACAGAAAGGAAAAAATAGCGCCTACAAATGATGAGTGGACAAGTTCTGATTCTCAGAGCTAGGAACAGTCCTGATTTATTACTTCTGCAGTAGTAGTTTTGGTTCTGGCATCTGTTTCAAACTACTCCTAGTATTTCAAAGCTGCATTTTCTAGCCCTGCGGAGACAAGATTTCTGCACTGGAATCAGTGTCTGTGCTCAGCTCAAGTTAGAATGTCACCAGCAGCATCTGCCTGAAGTTTCACTGGTTTTGCAGATCAGAATAAAGGCTCAGATAGCAAGGAAAATACTGTGAGACCAGCTCAGTGCCACAGAGGGTGTTGATGGACAGCTGCAAGTTGGCAATTAGAGTGCTATGAATATGGAAGGCTGGACTTTCCAGATTTACCTGGTCAATTTGTACGTTGGCTTAGATCATTAGTGAGATTTGCAATGCTTCACAGGAGCAGAAGGTTGGATGTCAGACTGGGGCCTTTCTGCCATGCTGCCAGGATGGCTGACTCTGCAGTGGCTGCACTGCCAGTGGGACTCAGCACCTCTCCCACAGCCTGACCAGGCCTGGATGTGTTTCAAAAGCTGCTCCTCTTCTTCCTCATGTCAACGGTAGAAGAGGTCAGTGGCTCATTCATGTTTATTCATATCATTTCAATAACTTCTTATTCCTTGCTTTGGGTAGTGCTTGTCCTGCTTCATGAAGAATCATCACCTGAATTTGGTTTTCACCCTTTCAGCCCCCCCACCCCTCACTCTAGGCTCCAGTTCTTCCATACTCTCATCTAAAAGCCTCTGCTGGTCCTTTGCTTCTGATCTTCCTTCCTGGAGCTTTAAAGGTCTGTGCTGTGTGCATCGTAGCTGAGGTGGATCAGGTGTCAGAGCCATGTGTTGATGTGTCTTATCCCCTGTGTGGGGGAGAATGTGTGCATGCTTCTTGAGTTAGGAGCTCTCAAGGGGAACATCACAGCTCCTTCATCTAATGTGTTGCTGGTGATTCCTCTGGTGGTGTTTTAGGGGGTCCTCTTGAGAAGGTACTGCAGTTATATGTGGTAAAAATCAAATGCGATGCAGTGATGCTGTGATTGACAAAGCACTTGCAAGATTGGTGCTGTTTTATTGTTAATTATCTTTTGTAATACAGACTTCTTCATATCTGGGAGCAGGGGCCTATAAATATATGTTCCAGCAAATCGTCATAGAATCATAGAATGGCTTGGGTTGGAAGGGACCCCAAGCCAAAATGGGGGTAACTTTTTTTTTCCTGTCTCCCAAATGATGAATTGCAGCTGTGGAGACTAACATTAAGACTTTAACTTTCACAAAAAAATAATTTCCTCTTAGAAAACTGTCCATTGCACTGAGTCATTTCAATGTGGGGGCTAACTGTGTGTGTATGTAGGGTGCTGAATGTGAACGGAGGCAGAGAAACATGCGAGGAAGAGGGAAGTGATATGCACAAATGGAAGGGAGAAGGGCTGCAGGGCTTTATTTATAAGGTTTGAAAAGGAACATGGAGATGCAGGAGTAGGAGGGAAGGAAAAATATGCCTGGATATATGCCCAGGAAGGAAGGAGAATCTAAGTTAATTTCTGTTTGTGCAAAGAAAGATCAAAGCTAGAGGAAGTCACGTCCTTGCTGGAGCTGCCAGCACTTCCCTGGTGACACAAAGAATCCAGAAACACTGTGCTGCTAATTGGTGCTGCAGCACTGCTGCATTCACAGTACACCCTGGTCACAGTGCTGGTGCTAACTCTAAGTGTTCTAGCATTTAAAAAACAAATGCCTGTATTGCTGCCCAGCTCTAGATCTCTGGGATGATTCCATGCTAATGCTCTCTGCATTTCTTGTTACATGTTCAGATACAACAGATATAATGCAAAAAAAAAACAAAACCAACAACCCAAACATCGTAATCACGAAGCACATTAGTTGACAGGGAATCTGAGCTCAAGTATCAACAACTTGCTAATTAAAAACATTGCAAGAATGCTGTAATTACCAGTACAGAAATGTAAGGCATCAGCAGCTGAGATGGGTTTGCGGAGGGGTCTGTGAGGTTTCACTGCAGTGTGAGTAGGGATGTGGCAGAGATATTCATTCTGAATGAGAGGTGACAGCCAGACTGAGGGCTGCATGCGTGGTCTGGGCACGTATGTGTCCCTGCCATGGATGGGAAGAGGATGGATGCCATGCATGTGTGTGTTTGGCTATATTAGAAAAGCAGCAGCTTCATTTCGGGAGTCCATTGAGGGACCTTCAGTTGTCTGCTGCAGCTGTTATTGCATGTGGTGTGATTTCACTTTGGAAACACGCCGTGCTTGGGCTGTGTTTGCCACACTTGTGCAAAGGAGAATGGAGATGAGCAACAAGTGAATTGTTCACACAGACTCAAAATGAGCAAAGAAGCTGGGAGGGATGAAGAAAATATACAGTCCTGCCATAGAGCAAGTGGTAGAGACAAAAACATGAAATTCAGGGCATCCCTGACCAATACACAGAGCAACCACAAGGAACAGACTGTTCCTACATGTGTTGCCTAGTATGGAGCTCGTTTTGAGTGACATATGTAAAACATGGATTTATACTGGCTAAGGTAGCACCTTTCTCTTTTTTTTCTTGGCTGTGTGTGTTAAATACCTACTAGTTGCATAGGTAAAATGAAACCTTGCTCCCAAGAGGAGACAAACCTGTAGTGCTGCATTCAGCTTACTGCCTCTGTGGACTAAGACCTGCTCCTCTGGTGTCTTGGTGTGAATGCAGGAAGAATCCAAGTCAAACCACACAATGCAGATGTGGGATGAAAAAGGTTACTTAGTTAACGTCTTTAGTTCTTGTTCCAGAAATGGCAGTGGTAATATTTTATCAAGTTTCCTTAGCACCTCTCAATATGACAAAATACACTCTGTTGCTTACGATCCTGCTGGTCTCACATCTGTAATTCTCAGTTCAGTCATTCTGCTGACCATTTCCCCTCACTTGGTGCTCCCCAAAGGCACGCGGTGATCCCTTCCCCTGCCCTGTGTACATTCATTTCATGCAAAGAGTTTTTAAAAGTTAATTGCCATCTCTAAATGCAGAATTAATAAAGTCACGGTTGGTTGGGTCATTTTTATGATCCTTCCAAGATTGTTTGAAAGGTAGAGTGAAAACTCAAAATTTGACAGAGGAATAATTGTATCAGCACAGACTATTTAAGGTTGACTAACCAAAGCAATGTTATAAGCAACAAGGTCTCTCTTTCTTCCTGCTCAGGAGAACTCCTTGATTTGCTACTGAGATGTCTGATCCTGCCAGCTTTCCTGTCTCCTGAAAGCTTCCCAGCCATGTTCTTCCACCTCTGAGAACCTGCTGCTTTGGTCAGAAGAACAACAAATGCTTATTAGGTATGTTTTACCCAAAATACTTCTATGTTGCTTCCAGCAACAGGCTTTTGGTGAGGATTCTCTGAATTTAGTAGCTCCTTGTTCCATGGAGGTTCCCTAAGGAGCCTCTCACACCTTCCTGTTGTCTGAGGTCAGTGTTTTTGTGTTCTTCACATCCTGCTGTTTTAAGCAAAGCCTTAAGCTTCTTGTCAAAGAAGGACAGCAGGTATCTCAGAGCAGCCATTTCAGCTAACAAGAAAGTTACAGAACTCACAATAAATTAGCCTACTTTCTAACATGGCATACCTGTGCCCTAGTTGTGAACCCCCAGTGCCCTTCAGAGGGATCCTACAAAGTCTGAGGCCTTTTCTATGCTTTTTATCAAATAATTATTCCATAGGCAAAAAGATAAGTTATGTGACGTATGTCAGCACCCTCAGAGTGGTTGATCTGCTTCCAGCAAGTGGAATTGCTCCTGTGGCTCACATGGGCTGTGTTCTCAGGCACAACCCCACCAGCGACAAGCACAAGGTGTGACTGACTGCACTGGTAAAAGCAAGAAAAGCAAGCTGGGTAGCAGTGGTTCAGGGCACAGGGCTTGGCTGACAGTAGACTGACCAGAGTATTGTTTGGAAAGGAGAATGATGTTTGTCACAGATGGTTGTGATGAGCAAGCAGTGAGGTGAAGGTTGTTGCTGATAGGTGTGTATATGTGTGTGGGGAAAGTCTTTGTGTATATATGGAAGTACAGGGGAAGGGGAAGGGATGATTAGTGTGTCATGGACCAAGCATGGAATCACATAGGAGGCCAAAGAGTGTGCGAGAGGCCAGTCTTGTATGAGAAGGGAAGAGCAGTGCATATGCCAAGATTGACTGTAGGCTGTGTTTGTACCTCTGCCCTGTAGCCCTCTTGCTGCTGGGGAGGAGGTGGCACTGCTGGGGTTCAGCAGAAATAGACAGGGGTGAAATGCAGAGCTGGAAGTAGCTGTTAGGAAGTGGAAAATGCCTGTGAGAGGTGTTGCTGGTAGCATTCCTCTTGTCATACTGGTCAAGAAAAGAACTGAATATGGAACTTAGATCTCTGTGGTCAAGACCAGCTGGCTACTGAGCAGTTGGCTCTAAAGAGCCACCCGAGTCTGCAGATGTGTGCAGTGTGTGCCAATGGGCCGTGCATGATGATGGGCCCAGTGTGCAGGGACAGCAGTGTGGGGTGGGCAGTACACAGGGACAGGCTGTGCTCAGAGGCAGAGCAAAGGAGCATTTGTGGGTTTTCAGAGCCTAGCCAGGATCTGAAGTGAATCCAGGACCCTGGCAGCAGTGTGGGTGGAAATGTGGGTGTTTCTGCAGAGGAGCATAGCACTGCAATGTGACAGATGCATGATTTTGTGAGGAGGAGTTCAGGATGAGTTGTAGCATGTGAGTATGGAAGATGGCAACTCCAGTGGTGATTGGAATATATCTCAGTAGCTATTAGGGATTTTAAGGCATTACCCATTACACACTCTGAGAAAGGACAGCTGTAACATTTGCTATACCCCCCCTCCCCCAATTTCACCTTGTTCAGGGAAGGAATATCTGCTTGCATTTGCAATATAGCTTCATATGAATTTCTGTGAATTAGATGCATGCTGTAAGGACTGGTCAGCCTTGTGTCTTAACGAGTAGAAGAGAACAAGCAGGCACTGGGACATCACAAAATTTAAGAAAAAAACAGACCATGTAGGATCTCTTGTCTCTTTAACACGCATCTTCACCAGGTATCTCTGGGACTTTGCCCACGTGCCTGGATTTTCTGAGACTAGCAGAGTCCGTGAAAACCTCCACTGAGCATAGAGAGGCTGTCTGCACTGACCTTTCTCTGAAGTACTTGATGGCTTCCTGGTCTAGGAAGTTCTGTTCTTCTCGAAAGCCCTGCTCAAAGATTTTGCGCTTGTGTCTGAACTCAATGACAGTCTTAGTGTAAGAGTTCAAGGTAGTAACGGAGGCCGCCATGCAGCAGGTGAAAGAACCCCACGCCAGACTGTGGAGAGAGAAACCAGCAGACAGCTGGGTTAAGACAGTAGCTCATGTTATATTTCTGAAGCCAAGAGACACACATACACAGGATGTGACCGGGCAGGTAAGTCAGCAATGACAAACCCATTCTCCTCATCTTACCTCCAGCGACCTCTGGCACTTGCTCAGGCACGCTGGCAGGATGCTGAGCTAAGGGCTGGGCACAGCTTCAATCCCATGGGGAACCATATGGAAGAGTGCTAATCTTAACACTCTGGGCACTGTGACAAAATTCCAGCATGTCTTGATTTCTCTTTGCAGTGTTTCAGATCCTAGCAGGCAAGTGCTAAATGCAGTATGGAATTCCTGGAAGGAGCCATGCAGAACACTATAATTCCTCAGAGAGCATCCATGGGATACTAACTGCCAACACAACCTGATGGATGGTTTCTATTCCATTTTACTTTCATCAGATTAATATCTTTATGCTTTTCCTGTTTCAGGGTCGTTTCTAGCATTCCTGGCTTACATCCAGTCTCTGAAAGCCCAACCAGAGCAGAAGACAACAGTTCCATTTTGTAGAGAGCCCCAACCTGAGGGCCATGGCCCAAGCACGCAGGCAGTGCTAGCCAGCCTTGGGCAGCCCATGGTGTGCATATGCAAGTGACAACCAGGAGCACGGGGAGACAGCAGGAGAAGGAAGTGGGAATAAAGTGACCGTGGCAGTGCCAGGCTGGAGCAGCAATGTTAGCACGGGGCTCCCAGCATGAAGAACTCCTTTTGTTTGCAGAAATTATCCATGTTCAGGCTCCCCTGGCCATTGCATTCAGCCCATCAGCTCCAGCTATGTGTTATTCACACTGAATTTTTAACTAACTTAGATTAACTTAATTGTCTGTCAGCTACACACTTAACCTGCTCCTTTCTTTCATCTTTTCTATAACCAATTTTAACACTGTTATAAATTATGCAGGACAGAAAAAACAGCACAATAGCATTACCTCATAAATAAACATTATAAACAGAGCCCTCAGCATGAACTGTTTTCCCATTCTGCAAATGTTCTGCAGACAAGGAAACAGTTCTTCATTGAAAATTAAGTGAGGAACACGTATTCGTGAACTGAAAAATCTGGGGAAAAAATGGTTCAAGTAAACAGAAATGGCTCATTTCAGTGACTTCAAAATTCAATGCATAACAACAGTCCTTCAGGGACTCCCATGGCAATGAAGTGTGTAGAGGCAGCCTTTTCCTTGGGCTTTTTGAACCTGTCTGCCAGATGCAACCAGATGAGAAGGAAGTGCAGAGAACCCTAGGGGGATGAAGCTTTGGTAGGGTTCCTGTGGTTGGGTTGAGAAGTGGGAAGGAAACTTGTGCTGTGTGTGTCCAGGCACAGGGAAGCCTTGCAAGTGTCTTCAAACAGTGTGTGGAGAAGCTCTAACATCCCCAAATATTTCCAGCTGGTCTCCTAATTGATTTCAAGGAAAACGCCAGCTGAAACCACACGCTTCACTGTGCCTGCTTACTGCCTGGTGGGTAATATTTGGAGACATTTTTTTGTTCTTAAATGCTTGTGATAATTTCTAATTATTAACTCAGAAATACTGAAAGGTTCGGAGAAGGAAATGCAGAACAAAGACTCTGGTTGTGCCCTCAAGTTTGGCATGTAGCAAATCATCATCGCAAGACAATTATGACTGATATATTTTAGCTTGTATGGACCCTGGTTAAATTTAATTTTAAGTGTAAAGGCTGCTGAGTTGCATCCTACCTTAGTGGAGACCTCTTTAGCAGCAGTGCCTCTGTGCCAGCTGTGGATCAAGTGTAGTGGGATTGCATCTGCACTGCCTCTGGTGGCTCAGCTGAGGGCTGTGCTTGGTTTGTGGCTCAAACAGCTCCGACCTGTGCATTTGTTTTCTTTCTGGAGGGGCCACGCTTGGACATCCATTGATCCTCTGGCTGCTGAAATTCACTGCCTGGAGGACCTCCTGCTCCACTCCTGACTTGTGCCAGGCTTTGTCAAGGGCTTGGGAAAATGGGGTAAGGTAACATGGACCAAAGGCTGCACTGCGAACCCTGTGACACAAGCAACTATTCCTCATTTTGGGAAGCGTAACTATCATTCCCATTTGATAGAGCAGAAATGAAGTTATGGGAGAAATAGTTTTCCCATTGTTACATGGGAAGTGAATGACAGCCTGGATCTCCATTCGTGCCCTTTGGCTCTTAGCCATGGCACTGATCCCTGGCACTCCTTCCTGTGCTGTTTTAATTCTCTGTGCTCTAGCAGGTGGTCTACCAGGATGCCATACAGGACCTATGAGCCTCTGATGGCATGGTGGCTCTTGTCTTACACAGGATGAAATGAACTCTAATGATTGGTTTGTCATGCAAGACGTTTAGCAACATTCTGAATGTTTAGTTATGTGGTAAATCATGAAAGAGATTACTAAAAACAGATAGCAAGCATTACTATTTAATTATATTAATAAATATCCAGTGATTATTATTACATATGTTATAAACACTTATAATAATGTTATAAGCTCATCATTGTATGCAATAATGAATATTTACCATTAATACAGATAATAAGGTGCACTTTTAAAATAATGTTGTTTATATTTAATGATATGTTCCTAAAATGTTTATAAGTCCTCTCATGAAACACACTCTACTGAGGAGAGGAGAGACTAATAACTCCCTGCAGTGCTGTGCATAAGATGTATTTGCATTCATTTATTGTTGTTTGCAAAGATTGTTGTCTGAGCTTTGAGGTGGAATTAAAATGATGCAATATATTCAGAAATGAAAGAAAAACTAAAGTATTTTCCCCATTCGCCATACAAAGAGGCTGATGCTTCTGGAGGGATGTGAATGTTGTCTGCAGAGTTTGTCTTTTTATTCTCTGCATTCTCCTTTTCTTATCAAGTTTCTTAGAAAGTTGCAAATGATGTAAGGCAGTTGGTGCATCTTGACCAAGCTATTTTTGTGTAATTTTCAAAGATAATGGGAAAGTTTCAAAAAAAAAAAAATATATATATAACAATAATTCTCCTAAATGTCCATTGTCCCAAACCTCCCCATGCCTCACAGGGAATGACCATGGTGCTAGGAGTGCTATGCATTCCTCTGCAGCTGTGTTAAAAATTGCACTGTAGGGTTCAACGAAGACATTAATTATAACAACAACAAAACCCCCTTAAAACTCTTTGAAATGCCGCGGTAATTATGTACCTAAATTGAACTTTAATGAGAGTGCTCAATCTGTGTTGGTAATTGTGGCTGCTATTTATTCAGAAATGCTATGTACCTGCTGATATGCACAGCTGCTGCTGCACAGTTACTGATAACTGTCCTCTAACACTTCAGTGATAGTATGGCCACGGTGGAGTTTTGCTCGTAGTGTTTTGGCAGCTGGAAATTCACATGCATGTTCCTGGCAATTTGGGATGATACGTACAATCACCCAACAGGCTGATGGACCAACTCAGAAATGAAAAGATATTAAGAGGTGGTGACACTTACCAGAAGGACCATCCATAGTCCCATGAATGTGGCCTCCAGTCCTCTGGCCCGAGGCTGACTGTCACTTGGAACACTTGAGTATACATCATGTGTGCCACCATCCCCAGGAGACCTGAGAAGCAAAGGGCAGAACAGCTGAAATTTTTTTTTTTTTTACAGTTCTTGAGACAGCTGCTGCTGGAAGTGCTCTGAAAGCTCTGCTGCAGGCTTTGCTGTATTTTCACGTCTCCTGTTCTCCTGTGGAGGTGTGTGCTGAGGAAAGGTGTGACTGAGAGCTTGCTATTTTACATTGTACTGAAACCTCAATTAAGAGAAAAGTTAAAGAAAACCACTGAAGAAAATTCGGCACCATCAGCATCACCACCAACCTCGCTGCTGCAAAACAAGGGTATGCCAGCCAGAAGGCATCTCACAGCCTGACCCAGACAGGCCTCAGGTAGGAGAACATGAAGAGACTCTTCTGTAGGCAATGCTAGGGTGGATGTGTTGGTTCCAAACAGAACTATATTTTAGCTGAATAATTGACAGATATGTAAATTTGTGCACTTAGAAAAAACACTTGGATGTTACCCAAGAAAGTTAACAGCATTCTTAGTAATGTGTGATGAGATAATCATAGGAAGACTTCTGACGATGCTTGCTTTGTGGCACAACTGTATTTTGCTGAGATAAGTGCAACTGGAAGATCAGGCAGTTGTATTACAGGCACCGTGCTCCCTGTGATGCTAAAGAGCAGAGCTGCAGTCAAGTCACAGGGTACATTACCACCAGCGTGGCTCCTCAGCTTCAGCAGAAAAATCTGCCTGTATTTTTTTTTACATCTAGACATCCCACTGAGGAAAAGCAAACCTCACTTTTCAAAAAATGGTGGCAAAAAGCAGCTCTGATGCTTGGAGAACTTTGCAGCTACAATAGTGAGATACAGCTGCTTAAGTAAGCATCAATCACCTGATGCCTCAGACCATTCATGTTTTTTCACTGGTGCCTTTCCTCCAAGTGGCAAATCCCAATTTTCTCTCCCCGAGACCCAAATTTTGACTCTTCTAAACTTGACTCCTGCTTACTTCCAGAATCAAAAGCACTTCATTAGTCTCACATCAGACCTGTGGAATGACGTAGGGCAATTCTGGGGGAGGAAGCCAGGGGAATGATGTGTTTCTGTTGCAGGTATGGTAAGCAGGACCTTCAGCAAGGCAAAATTTATATTTGCTACAAACTGCTGCACAGGCTGAAGGAAGATATTTTATTACAGGGAACTGCAGGGAATTGCTCAGCTGCTTCATGTCAGTGTGACACACTGGGTAGTCAGGAGGAGGAAAGAGCAGATCCCACAGGCAGAACTGGGATTTCAGGAGGGTGGGAGGCCTCGCAGGAGCACGGCTTCACCTTCCTTGTCTCTGGCTACATTTCATTTCCAGAATTCATTGAAAGCTTGCTATACTTCTTAAGTAAATGGATTTTTCTCCAGCTGATGGTTATGATATCGATGTTAAGAATTTGTGCTTTCTGTTCCTATAATTTCTGCCAGTAGCCTTTCAGCCTTAATAAAACATTACAGACTACCCTGAGGCATGTCATTGTCACTCAGAGTCATTAGGAGGTTTGACACAGCCAGGACTAACTTCAGCAAGGCTGTTCTGTTTTTCTTGCCTACAGAACTTAGAGGGATGTTTCAGCAGTGTTCAGCCCATTTGCTGAGTGGGAGGCCAAGATGACAGTCCATTGACTCAGGTGAGTAGGAGGTCGTGAACAAGGGCTGCTGGAACACAAGGATGAAATTGAAGCTGGCACTTATTACTTTTTCTGCCTAATGGGAAGAGGGTTGGGAGTGACATCTGAACCAGAAAATTATGCTTTGGTAGTTTTTAGCAGACGTTTTTTTTTGTCCTCTCAGATTCACTTCTGATCAAAGTTGTATATCGCTAGCTGTATTTCAGTTTGAGGAGGTCCCTGAAGATTGACAGTCCTTCACAAAAATGTGCATTGCATGTTATGATGTCTTTCAGCTTGAAACACAGCAGAACAAAATTCTCTTATTTCAGATGTTCTATCTGCCAGAGAAGTCCATCCAGGTGTGCTCACAAAAGCCAGCTGTGGCTGGTTGCTTGTTAAATCCTGGGAAGGGGAGCTCTGAGCCAGCGTAGAGGTGAAGTGGTCCTTCCTTACGTGGTTAGATCTGATAACTTTTAGACCAGTGAATTCCTTAAGTTCATACACTGAGAGGCTCCAAGTACAGATAGAGCATGAAAACAGTCCGAACCAGTTGTTCTGAAGGATATACATGTCCCAAACTTACTCTTGGGATTTCTCCTAAGTGTGATTACTGGAATCTTTTTCATTCTCAGTCTTGCTAAAGAACAAGATAAACATCTTTCTTTGGTTTGGAGTGTCAAGCCTTCATATGTTCTTAGGATTAACACAGAAAAAAGAATTTTCAACACAATATATTTCTCATTTCCTATTGCATTATCAAAATGATGTTGCTGAGAAAGGAGGCTGAGACTCTGGTAGTGGCTGGGCAGGGTATGGGAGAGCCTAATTACTGCACTGCTGTTGTGAAATCAGAACTGTGCTTTTTTTTCTTCTCCCTGTCAAGAGGTGACTTTATTATGCTGCTCCAGCTCCCAGCTCGCAGTGGAAGTGTGATAGTTCAATGGAGATAAGAGTCTTGTAGCCCCCATTTTTTATCCCTTCAGAGTTTTAGCATTTTGATTTGTCCCATTCTTAAGGCAAAAAAGGGAAAGGAACACTCATACCTGAAAGCACAGTGAAGACAGCAGCAAAGGCATTTAACTTGAGCCCATCTATTACACTGCTTGAATGAAAGAGCTCGAGGCACATAAGGCTGAATCCGACGACTAACAGCATGATGTATAACACCTCAGATACTACTGACAACCATAGGACACCTGCAATGTACAAGAGAAGCAACTGGTCACTTACTTGCTAAATACTTCCATGAGGTCAAAGGTAGTAAAAAATGATTAGGAAATCAGGAACAGCAGTAACTGGATATTCAAAAAGCTTAAATTTAGTAGAAAAAGCTTAAATTTAGTAGACAACCACCTAAACTCTGAAAAATAGAAAAGGTGATGAATGGAGATCTGAAGAATGGAAGGGTGATAAAGATATTAGAGAAAGAACAAGCTGTTGCTTAGGCTCCCAGCTTGGCTAGAGAACCTCTTTTTGAGAACCTAGAGCATCTCGACTCCTGTGACCCAAAGCATAGCATATGGAGTCTATTTTCCCCCCACTGTACCATGACTTAAATAAACAGAATCTAGAATGCATGATGGTGATGGCACACATAATTTAAAAGTATGGTTAGTGGGAGATGTCCAGTCTTGGACTTCTTTTTGGCAAGGCTGTTCAAAGAAAATATTTCCTGTCCAGGTTTGAAATACATAATACTTGGGCTTTATTCTTAGAAACTCCCTTTTGCAGAAGTTAGTGTTTTGCAGAATGATTGTACTGCTGTGGGTTTTTGGAGATCCAATCATGTATCTGCTGCTGGGCTGAATATGAAAGCTGCCAAAATACTGGTGGGGTGAAGCCAAGTATTTATAATCAGTTGAAAAGCTGCAGGTAAAAATAATAATTGTGCAGCCTTCTGTGTCCTCAGCCCCTAGGTACAATCCCTCAGGTGAAGGGAAGAGTTGATGTGCCCCATCTGAACCTTGTTTTGCAGCTCTTTGGGGTTGTCCACAGATACGTGGTTCTGGCTGCATTGTGGTAGTGGCCATGTGAGGCTGATGCATTTGCTGTAGATGTTACACTTGGAAATTTCAGTACAAAGCCTCTAGCAGGATCTGCTGAGTCTTTAAAAGTCAGCAAGCCATGGGGTAAATGTGAGAGGATGGTAATGATAATAGTAAGTCCCTGCCAGATTCCCAATTGCTGTTTCAGCATTGAGGACCTGCTAGAATTCTTCTGTACATTTGCTAGTGTAACTGCTAGAGAATTGACCTGGAAACAACAAGCAGCGATGGAAAATTTCAGCCTAAGCAATTGAAACATGGAAAATTAAGCATTTGAAGACAATGGTGTATATTAGAAAAATGCTAGTTGTAACCATAGAGACTACCACAGAATTCACTTATATTTATACATTCTCTCCTCACTGTAAGAACATGTATGATAATGTATGTAGTTGAGCTTAGTGAATCAGATACCCAGTCTCACTTTCATCAAATATTTGAGTCTTATCAGTGACCAGGATGATCCCAGCTCACATTTTGTCTGAGAAACTGCATCTGATTAATACGTGTGATTATTTGTCACCATATCTGATTTTTTGAGTTCTTAAACAGTGCTGCAAAGATAGCTGTAAACAAGCCTTTTAATTTCTTACACTGACTTTGTGTAATGCTGCATCTATCAACAGCAAACAGCTGCTTTTTTCACGTCTATTAGTCAATTTGGAATCAAGGCAACTGGCAACACTTCTCTGAAAAGAAATAGAGACAGAGACACAGCCAAGGTATTGTTCTGAGATACTGCAGGATTAAGGAGAGATTTTACCTCATTTTCTTAAAACCCTAAGTTTCTATAGCAAGAAAATGATGAAATGAGTCGGAATGAGTCAGATTATGTAAACCTGATTGTAACCTGAGGCAGCTGTAAGTCCTGACTAACTAGTTCAAATTCAGAAATTCCTCTACCCAACCTTGATAGAATAACACAGAGCGTGTCTGCCCCAATGTTTGTTTATTCCCCATTTTAACTTCTGGGGATACTCACTGCTGATACCTACAGACCAGAGTAGTGCTGTAGCAGTGATTGTAGTTCAAGGCTGTGGTGTGGCTCTGTCCTCTATTTCACTGGATATGTAATCTATCCTCTTGTTTCAACCCCTCTTCTTGCAAGGTTTCCTTTGTCTCCACCTGACCTATGCACTGGTGGGTGACCCCTACCCTCACCCTGCTCAGACTCACATCTCTCAAATAATCATATGCATGCATTTGCTCTGATCATCTCCAGCATCTTTCCAGGGCATTAAAGGTCAATCTCCTTGGGCTGTGCACAACAGTGCTGAGCACAGCATCTCCCAGCACCACTGTAATATTAGTGTTTACTAGTATTGGTAACACAGGCATTTCTAAGAAAAGTGCTTCAATCTGCCTCGCATGCACTGTACCAATCTCTGGCTTGCTTCCAAATTAAATGCAGATTTGAGATTCTGGGAATTGAAGGGGCCTCAATACTAAGTCCTGATGCTGAACATTGTTTGATGTAAGCTTATAAAGTAATCATGATTCATTTTCTGAGCAGATGAAAAAGTTATTTTCACCTGAGAGCCAGACCTAGATTTATTTGGTAAATAAAACATGTCACCCATTGTCTGTTTTGTTCAGAGTTATATACAACCAAAAATACTAACTTCACCTTCAAAGTTCTGGTGATTCTTTTTGCTCTGTCTCTCTCCAGCCTGATTGCTATTGCTTCCTCCCCAGCTTCCAGTGCAAAGCTTATCAACCTCAACACCCTGTTCCAAATGATGAACTGCAGTTGTCATTCACTCACCTTTCGGTTTGTAAATTTCATTTTGCCCAAAGAAACCAAGAGCTTGGAGATTTTCTAAGCTTCCAGAAGCACAGACAATTCATTAATATTTGTACGCTGTCACTGCGTTCCATCATCACACTATTAAATAAGCGATCTGATGCAGTTTATAAGGAGTAGGAGAGAAAGGCAAGCTTCAATGTAAATGTCATCAAGAAGTAATCTGAGCCAATTGCTTAAAAAAGTTAGGAAAGCCAGTGTGGTTTTACTGACCATATTATTCCTACATTTTGGCTACTCTTCTGGAGTTTACTTCAAGTATGTAAACTGCATGTAGGCTACCTATTGCACACCTAGGAACAGGTGCTTGAAACTGGATGCTACAGACACAACTGTAATGAGTTTGAGAAATGCTGGGGGACTACAGAGATGCACAGTTTGTCTCTATGGAAGGGCCCAGAGGGGAAAGCTGCAGCTCCCGGAGCCCAGCACATGGGGACACAACATTTAGCACAGCACTAAGAGGCAGAAGGGGGAGGAGAAATTCTGCTCAGGTCAGTGTGGTACTGCTTGGGGACTGTATGTTGATGCACTGAAAGAATTGTGACAGAGCTGGGAATGAGGGTGGTGGTTATCAGAGGCTGTCCTCGATAGGGGATGGAGATGCTTATCTATCAACATGACTTGCTGTTTTGCGTTGTTTACTGCATGCCAGGGGCTGTGATGCTGCAGAGGACTTGGCTAGGCTCATCTGACCCTCACACTATTTATTGCATCTTGCAGCTCATGCGTTATGTGGGATACTGCTAGAAGTAGCCTTGATTGTCTTCAAAGTGACTGTAGAGTTCAGAGAGGTAAGAGTGAAGGGCACGGTAACCCTGTTGGTCAAAGAGAAAGCAACAGGAGGAAGGAAAGCAGTGACTGGTTGGTGTCACAGGAAGTGCTTTGAGTTCTCTAACCGTAGGTGTCTGAGTAATAAGAGTAGTAAGTGCTGCTGAGAGAAATAGGTTCCATCTGGTCAAACAGGAGGAGAAACTTTTTTCCAGTACGGTACAGAGAGAGTTTGTTGTGGAAGGTATGGACATTTCTTCCTTCTTCTTTGAGTCCTGGTCCTACCCAGAAAGGACCCTCACATCTTATTGTACGCTGAATATCTGCTTTGTACCTTTTAAAAAGAATCTGTAATACAGGGAGAAGGTAAGTCGCACACATGGAATTTACACAGTTGTATGTCCTTTCCTGCCTGTTTTGAGTTTGAATTTCATCTCAAAGAATAACATCCTGCAAATGCAAGCTGTATCTGCGTTCTGCATCTTCATGTAGAAGATGATCAGAAGCAGAACAGTTCTTCTTTCTCGAGAGAATGTCTCCTTGTTCTGTGCTTATGTTGAAGTGATCTCCCAATGCACTGCTCCCAACCTGAGATTTATCAAGCAGTCCCTTGCCAGGACTTAACTCCACTTCCAGCCTATGAAGCCTCCTTCCTGCAAAGCAAAGAGCTCCATCTCTAGGGGAGACCTCAGTTGTTCCATGTGACAGGCAAGAAGCTCTCTTGAGGATTTTTCTCTTCTTTCTCTGTCTTCTCTTGTTGCCTTTACTATCTCAGTACCTATTAGCCTCTGTCCCCTGCCACCGTGGTTTGTCTGACTTAACTCAGCCTTTAAGAAAATATTTCCTTCGGAGTAGTCAGCACTTGGTTCATTAGGAGTCTCCCACCTGGATGGCCTTCACCTCCAAGGGTCTGTATTCTTCTCAACATTTGGTCTTTGTCCTGTGTATGCTTTCAGCTTGCTTCTTCACCAAACAGTTATGTGAGAACAGAGCATTACCATGAGCTCATGTACAGAGCTCGACAAAGATGTGTGTGTTAAGCCAAGGACGTTCCTTGTAAATGCAGAGAGGTTCCAGCTCCTGACTGCCTCTTCCTCACAATGTGCAGCATTAGTCAGGCAGTGTCTCATCCCTGCTCACCTTGCAGTGCTATGGCAGCAATGTAAGACTTCCTAACAAAGAATGGTCTTCTACTTTAAAACAAAATTAAAGCAGAACTGTTTCCCTTACACTCCCATATGTGTATTCTCACAAGCAAAATATATTCAGACAGTATTTTCAGGATTCCCTGAAATGATACTGGGTAAGAGGAATACTGCCTGTCAAGTCCACCTCACACCTCCTGAGCTTTTAGCAGGTTATCAGCAATGTGCTATGCTCTTGTCTCAGACAGGAGCTGACAGCAGTCTCACTGTTATGTCTCTATTACACATCACAATTTACTTGGTGTCCTGTGTCTCCCAGCATGGTGTCATGAGAAGCTACATGTAGATAGGGGGATTTTGATGACTTAGTAATCTCATTACCATCAACACCTGCTGTTCTGATATGCCTTATCTTGCCATTTCTTCCCTAGGTGTCTCTACACTAACCAGCCTAGCACATCCTCAACAGTCTAGCTGGCAATGATAGAAATCTGTGTATTGTGGGTCACTTTGGCTCTTTGCTCCTGTTCTGTGAGTGTTGTGTGGGG